AATAACTGTAGCGTTACTTTTATATTAATTATGCAAATACTACATAAAACAATATATAAAGAAAAACAACTATTTAAAATAAATTATTTTTTTTATTCATTTTGTAAAAAATAAATTGGATTTGTTGCTTCTCAATTTAAAGATATTTTGTTTATGCTTAGGTTTAATTTAATTAAATTTTAAATTTGATTGTTATTACTTCAGTTTTTTGTCCAACACACGCTTGTGTTTTGCTAGTTTATGGTTTCTTCCTGGGTTGAGTTCAGTTTTTTTTTTGTCTTGGTAAAGTTTTAATTTTTTTCCTTGTTTTTTATTATTTATTTGTTTTTGTGATTATTTTGTGTTTGTGCCACTCTACACTAATCACCACCAACCATCGAATTATTAAACAGTAACTAAAAGTACAAAAGTTCTTTTTAACACAAAAGACGAATACGACGACACACGCACACGTACAAAAGCTTTTGTGCGATTTGAATTTTGTTTACAACAACAAGAATACCGTAACAAATATTCCTCCGCTAACGAACACAGCCAAATTTGCATTTGTAACCAAAAGAAGAAAAAAATAAATACCTAAAATCGATAATTAAATAAAGATCCGATTGGGAAAAATGATAACATTGTCGTTTATATACATATATTTTTTTTTGTTTTTACAATTGTTTTAATTTCCGCTGTAGCAGCAGGAGGGGGGTTCGATGTCCGCTGTTTGTTGCTAAGCGCTTAATATTCTGTGTTTGTTCAGGTTATTTATAGCAGCAGACATGGATTTGAGATTTGAGACGGTGAGAAAAACTTGTTGAATGCACTCAAACGTGTTATCATCTGTCTTTTTTTGTGGTTTTCTTTTATACCAAATTTTGCAGGGTTTTATTGCATTTTTCTTTGTCTTTTCCATGCATGTGAGATTTCATTTGTTGTTGGCATTTCACACGTGAGTATTTTTTTACGTGGAAACAATGGACGCAACTACGAAGTGTTAAAGTGGAAATGAATTAATATTCAGTAAAATTATTTATTTAGTTTTCATTAATTAGCAATAATTAGTAAAAGATTTTTAGTAACAAATGATTATAAGTAAATGATTATAGTAACTATCAAAATAAGAAGTGGGGAACATTGATTGGTCTGTCTTGGCGTTAATGAAGAATCACTTGGATATGTGAAGTCAATGGGGAAATAATGGAGAAATAAAAACCTTATAAAATTTATATTAATTAAAAAATTTATGTTAAATAAAATCAGAAGAAAATTAGTTTATTTTATAATAAAAAGTCGCTGTTTATTCTTATTTTCAAGATAAAAATTGAGCGATGAATAATTTTTGTTGATTGTTGGTAATCTCCAAGGGTGAGTATGGTATGTCATGTGTGACAATGTCAAAAAAATTAGTTTTTACAAATTTATAAACAATTAGATATGTTTATCAAAATAATTTCCTAAGTATCTGTAGAATTATTTCAGTCGATTTAATTAGTATTATTTAATTAATATAAAGTTAGTATCAAGAACGTACTAATACTAAATTCAGTAGCGGCGCTAGGCGTCGGCGACTACCGGCGGTCTCGCAAAAACTTACAAACTAACGATTCAATTATTATTATTGAAAAGAAGGCATTGTGTGCGACATAAAAGATGTATTGGTCCCTTTAGCCGGATTAGATTGTTCCTCCAAGTCCGATTTCTTTAATGAAAGACAGTATAGAGCCTATCGTTCCTAGTCTTGGATCCTTATGAAACATAAAACACACTCCTAGGTGTTTCTTCCGCTTGTGCATCAGTGCCGGGCACTCCCCAAGCACATGGTATGTAGTTTTTCTCTCTTTTCTTCAGTATCTGCAGTCATGGGTTTGATTGAATTCCTAATTTCGATAGGTGGTTATTTAATCTACAGTGACCGGTAAATAATCTCGCAATAATTTTTATCAATTCAAAGCACTTAATAAATAATATTTTGAACAATTTGTTTGTATATACGACAATCATATGAAAAATATACCAAACGAAGATCTTCTGAAGCTTTGTAATGGTTTAGGTATAATTCGGTCTATTAAACTATATGAGGAATTGCTGTTTTTAAAATCGAACTCACTAGACTTAATAAACAATATAGAACAACTAGTCCGGTATATTAGATAAAACAATTTAAAGGAAGTATATCCTTTAATGTTTATATAGTAATCAGAATCGTGTTCACAGTTCCAGTCAGTATAGCTTCTACTGAAAGAAGCTTCTCAAAGTTAAAATTGATTAAGACCTAATTGAGAAGTATGATGAGTCAAGAGATACTATTTCAATTGGCAATTCTATCAATTAGCGAAAATGGCAACTAGTACAAATCATGATACAATTTTAAAAAAATTTTGTGAGACTGAGTAGTAAAATTCAATTATTTTAAATTGTGTTTATTTTAATTTGATTAGCAATAAAACTTTCATATATTCTTCGTTATATTAGTGAATGTAAATTATTTACTTTTATAACTCGCTAATAAAAGGAGCCTCGTAATTCTGAAGTCGCCCACTTTCAGAGTTGCTTTAACTCCGCCACTGACTAAATTAGATACATTGTTGTAAACTGTTTTAAGGGTTATTATAATTAATTTGTTAAACAAATTAAATTTGTTGTTATTTATTTTGTTTTGGGATTAGAGAATCTTTTGATTGTTTTTGTATACTTCGCTTTAGCCCAGCTGCACATTTCCGATAAAAAACCTCGGATCGCTAAGGTTTTATTCTAGAAATAAAATTTTAAAATAATTATACAATTTACAGAACTTACAAATTATTATGCAAATTATAGAATAATCAAATTATTATACAAATTGTAGAATTTGCAAACTATTATGTCTTATCGTGTTTGCAATTGTCGTCTATTTTCTAATCCCATCAGGCGGTCTTAATAATAGATTTGAAATTACTATGCTCTATATACATATGTATATCATATTACAACAGACCTTTATTTATGTTGAAGTGGGTGAACAATTTCGCTTCGCCTTTGATACGTTCTCATTCATTTTTAAACTAAATACACTTATTTTTTAATATGATTTGGCATTCTTATTGTCTTTGGTCTCATTCGTATGCAATACCTTAATAACCACGTGTATAAAAAGTTTATAAGCATTAATGACTGCTACAAATAGCGATATGTATAAAATAGAATATAAAATGTACGGCGTACAACCTCTTAGTGGTGCAAGCATTTCGACCATAGCTGGTTTTTTGTACTTTCGAAGCAGGAGATATTACGCAATTTGAATAAAGTCAGAATTTCAGATGTTGAGGACATACTAACATCAGTTGATGATAGGATCATCTGACTTAATAATGTTTTACCAATCCAGATCAAAGTTGAAGAGTCACAGAGAATGTGACTAGAGAGACCTGATCAGTTTTTAATAGTATTTTCGATTGGTTAACTTGGATTCAATCTAGATTTACATTTGATCTGCCAAATTATGTTGTTTAATTAAAGATTTTTACAGTAATCTAACATTACATAAATACATACATACATATATCGAATGAAATCAGATTTTATTTGTCAAGTCATTAAAACAGCTGTTAATTTCAAGGTAATCATGCTACTCTAGAGTGTTATTAATTAATATCGAGTGTTATAAATTTGTTAAGATGATAATGCAGGTTATGGAGACCTCTCAGATAACTTACCAACAAGATTAGTTCTGCTCAGCTGAGAGACGCGGCAGTAGCGACCTTGTCGTTTGTAAGCCCTGTCCACCACATTGCCATTAATTCTAGTATTCTATTGATGGCAATTTTTTGTGTGGTAATAATTTTTAATCATAGGAATAATAATAAGAGACACGGTAGTAGCGACCTTGTCGTTGGTAACCCTTGTCTACCTTATTGCCATTTCTTCTAATATTCTATTGATGGCAATTTTTTGTGTGGTAATAATTTTTAATTATAGGAATAATTATTTAGATAGCTACTATTCTTGGGTTTATTCTGATAATGAGACAGTAATAATAATAATCTAATAATAAATAAATGATATTAATCCAAGCAAATCTTTTATATGTGGATAACATTGCGTAGAATTAAAATGACAGTAATATTGGAAAATAAACCAATTTTTTTTGGAACCAGGTGTTTGCCACTGTGTACTTCAGACGTTAGCCATTTGCATATACTATGTTATATAGTATATTTAATATAAACATATATATTTAATATATACTACATTGTAATCAGGTGTTTTGCCCGTGTTAACTGTACTCGTTAACCTTATTATTATATCTATTATATTATATGATATAACCCATTGACAAAAAGCATTCAGATCGATGTTAAGCCAGTAGAATGTATTTTGTTTGCTTAGGGATATATTTGCGTTCTGTTTATGTCGCAGTTCTTCGTTTTGTAAGTGAATCTCTGACCCTATTTTAATATTGTACTATGGTTATACCATATAATCAAAGGTAAGGAAATGTGGAGAGGAAGGACTAAATATCATCATATCTGACATTTGCTCACCTAAATTTAACTTCTACCAAAAGTTCGGTCAAAAACCAGAGCTAGGGAACTACTAATGCTGAATCTGACTTGTCACAGGGTTTATCACTAGACATCGCGGAGTCAAAAAAATATCTATCGAAACTAGGTATTACAAGGAACAATAGCTACAGAGTTTGTTACGAAGAAGAGAAAACGGCAGAACACATTCTATGTCACTGTGATCGACTGTGAGGTTTTGATACTTATTAACTGCCCATCGACTTATAGCGGAATTAGGCAATGGGTGTGTCACAATAATTCTCAAAGCATGCAGTGACGTGGTGACATGGTTTCCAACCCTTTCATGTACCATGGTTTACAATAATTCATTCAAAAATAATTACCGGGAGAGGGGAAAATTTTTACTTTTAATAATAATATACATATATTATTGTCCCTTTAAATATTGTTTCTTTATTTATTTGCACTTATCCTAATATATTTATTTCTTAATTTAAAAACATTCATTATATAATATAAACATTCAACGATTTACCAAAATTAATTAGCAACAAATGGTTAGTTTCTGTTTCACAAGAAACTGAAATGCATATGACTCACAATAATAATATTAAAATTGATTACAAATATACGTAGCATGACATAATTCGAAAAAAGTTGAATGAAAATAGGTCTTCCGTGCAATATTTGAAATGAAATGATAAAAATATACAATTCTTCGGATAAAATCGTTAAACAATATATTTTTGCACATGGAAATTCTTAAGAACAATTTTAATACAATTTATATTAAACATTCCTTGGATTGATATTGGGGTTATAGTGAACGCTTTTACTATCATCATATGATTTTGGCATTTCTTGAGGGGCTACTAATTCCAGTTCACAACCCTTCGGTGAATAGGGGTGTATTCTACGTAATTCCATTTGAGTCAAACTGTCCAACACCCAAAAATATGTCACGTGAATTTTATTTTCTTTGTTGCTCTTCTTGTCGCATACAATGTATTTTGCTTGCTTTCGATGTTGGACGACTCTGCCGCCGCCTAACTCAATTAACTCTTCCAAATCATCTTTAGATATATTATGACATTCCGATGACACAAAAAATGGTTCCAGTTCTGAAAATAGTTCGCTTCTATACTTTTTACCAAATGCTTGTCGTTCTGCACGACAGATCTGAAAATATATAATATACACTCGTTTAAATAAGTTATATATGTGTAAGTCATATAATACATATGTCTAAATATGCCTATATTTTAGGTAGTACTAAATTGGCTGTATACAAGTACGTACTCATGCCAATTAAATACAGTTCTCCTTTCGGATTAGTAAAATTAGGATCAATTTAAAAAAAGAAATAGTAAAATAAAAATAATAGTCAGACCTTTTTCACAGATCTTTTTCTAAGTGATAATTGCTCATATGTATGTAGGTACGACACAAATTAAATATGAAATTGGCGAAATATAAAAAAATAGAATTCTCCGGTTCATATAGACTCGTGGAGATCCATTTGACAGATGACATAAAAGGAATCACAACTACTAATAAGTATTAATAAATACTAATATATGGATAATACATATCTAACGTTGTATCTATCTGTTCCTATCAGCCTCACATCTGATACATTCGCCATCGAGAAACAACAAATGTTAAACTAATTTTAGGAATTAGGCGGAGTGTTTAGTAGTTTGCTCTGCCGCGGGTCGGCCCGATATTGCAGTACTGTCGGGATTTTGGCCCATCTGACACACAACAAATATGTTATTGTTAATTTTGATTTTAAATAAAATTCTATAATTTTTTGCAAATATTGTAAGAATTTCTTTGAGTCAACAACAAATAATAATAATGATATATGAATTTGCATATGGTCGGGTGAAGGAAGTGTGAAAGTGGAGGGGATTGTTTGAGAATAAGGGTGATTTATGGATGGGTGGGATTTTTATGGAAGTTCATTTTAGTCAATCTAAGTTAATGATTGTTTGAAAATAAAGGTGATTTATGGTTGGGTGGAATTTTTACGGAACTTCATTTTGGTCCATCCAAGTTAATGATTTTCTTTAACGAATGATAACATATAGAAAAATATGTATTACAAAGACAATTATTTGCGTTAACACTTTGCCGAAGCTTTAATACCCTTAAGTTTAGGTTTAAAAGTCGTATATCTATGTAAACACCAATACATACACTTGGAAACGATTATTGCCCTTTACTACCCTTAACACAGTTGTATTATAAATCAACCAATGGCGAATCTGCTGGGTAATATTTAACTACGGGATCTTTAAAATCTTGTTTGGAAATATTGTTAAAACCGATAAGAATGCTAAGAAATGCTTAGCATTCGTCCCGTTAGTCGAATGCTAAGAAGGCAAAAGCAGTCTTTATCATCAAGAAAAGAAATCAAACATTTCAAAAACACTAATTGCCAATGACAAGTCTATGGAATGGGAAGATAAAGTAAATTATCTAGGTCTAACGTTAAACAAAAACCATATAAGTGAAAAGTATATATTATACAACGTAACGTAACCTTCGCGTAAGTTTTCTTACATAGTAAACTGAACACTAAATATAAAGTACTGATCTATGTATATGTTCGCGTTTGAAAATTCATTACACACAACATTAATTACTTTTAGACGTATCAATATCAGGTGTATGATGTCAGAAATAATGACATTCACAGAGAATAGAACACATGCAATAATATATATAGAATAAAGGTATGAAACTACATATTTACTGAAATAAACTTCTTAGGAAAGAAGATATCTTTTGCCCACTTATAAAATCTTATTATATAAACCTAAAAACAACAATAGTACAAAATAATACTACTAGAGATATTTTAACGACCCCAGGTACTTCACCAGAAATCTGGCAAAAACGGAATAAAAGTGCTGTTTGGCACTATATCCGCATAGGCACGCTGGGAGTGTTTGGACTAGGAGTCTTTTCACTATTGTATTTTATAATAGGTTACAAGTTTTATAATGTGTCGGTATTGTACAATCTACTGAAGTTAGAAGTATTTACATTAAGACTGAAAAGTTTTCGGAAATTCTCATTTAAAATTCGCGCGCTGTATATTTTTCGATATTTTAAGTTTATGTAGTTTGGCAGCACTGTCCTTAATTACTATGCCAAAAATGAGCTCGATCTGTCAGACAGTTCGTTTACGGCAGCTGTTGAAACCAGTTCACCTCAGTAGTGCGTTGCGAAATGTCTTCGACGGTCGTACGACCGTCCTGGAAGGCTTTGTACCACTCATAAACTTGAGTTTTCGATAAAACTGATTCCCCATAAGCCTTTTGTAGCATTCGCAACGATTCTGCACACGAAATTTCGTTCGAAACACAAAATTTGATGCAAACTCTTTGTTCAATATTTTTTTCCATTGTTTTTTTCGCAACGCCCTACTGAGGTGAACTGGTTTCAACAGCTGCCGTAAACGAACTGTCTGACAGATCGCGCTCATTTTTGGCATAGTAATTAAGGACAGTGCTGCCAAACTACATAAACTTAAAATATCGAAAAATATACAGCGCGCGAATTTTAAATGAGAATTTCCGAAAACTTTTCGGTCACAATGTAGTTAAAAAAGTACCTTAATAGCTCTTGAAAATTCGTGTATTTCAAATGGTTCCTCGTACAGCCATTTACCAGCATTTAATGATTCATTTATCCAATCATATTTCAGTATCCAAAGGCCACGCACCAATCCACGCAACAGATTCAATGTACGTTTCGGGTCTGTCGTTATAATGTGTGTAGTCTCATTTGTAACTCGCTTCTCCAATTGAAAGCATCCAAGTTTCTTGATAGCCTAAAAATTAAAGTAATTATATATAATATAATATGTGTATATTATGTGTATATTTACAAATATGTTTAAGAAGATTTTTATTGTGGTTTAGTGTAATAAAACTTCAACTGTTACTGTTTGGTGCCAGTAACCGAAAATTATTCAAATTTAATCGAAGTTTGGCAGTGAGTTTTTTTTTGTGTTCTTGTTTTTGGAAAAAGTTTTATGGAACATGCAAATTGTCTATGAATCATAAAAAACATGCAAATCACATTTATGTGAATTAATTACTTTAAAGATATTTAATAGACATTAATGTGATATATAGATTTATTGTATGGAGGAGTAGAGCGAACTCTGTGTGGATGGCATGCGATGTAGGTGTACTTTTATTGGAATGGTATAAAAATTGTATTTATGGTATTTAAATCATATATTAATGTGGACGTGGTAATTAAATATTAATATTTAATTTCAGAGGTTTGTTGTTTTTATTAGAACCTCACAACTTCTTTAATATCATAATTAATTACTTAATTAATTACTACTTTAATAAATAAAATTCTTAGTACTGTTGCATCAAATCTTTTATATATATGTATATTATTTATAATTTTAAATAATTAAATTTGGAATTTGTTTCTCGACCTTGTTTTTTTAATAATGTTTTATTTATATAATTTATAACCGGTTACAGGTCCTCTTTTTTAAATGAAATCTTTTTTTTAATATATTCTATATTTGGACTCTTTGAGAGTCAACATCAGGATAAGAATTAATTAATAAACATTAATTAATATCAATAAAATCTATATTTATTCATGTATTTGGTACCGTTGTAAATATTGCAGTGCAATATGTCTCATTATCATAGGTCTAACATTAAAAATATTTTTTGGATTTCTTTCCAAACCCATTCTTACAATATGAGCGCCCCATTGAAGTCCTTCTGCTTTCATGAAGCTTACTATATATTTTAATTTTATTATAAGTTGTTAATGTCGTTATTTGTTCTTGATCTGAAAGTTAGCTCCTATTCTGGCAGATTAATAGTTTAGATGAAAATTTTTCTTTTGAATATTTAAGAAGACTTTTTTATTAACTTTTATAGCTCTTATGTTAAAATATAAATTAAATATATTTTTTGTTATCATTAAAATTAATTTTATTCACATTTTAAAGTAACAATAAAATTTATGATTCCACGAGGTAGGATATATGCTCTTTCAAATACTATAATAGTATATTAGTACTATATAGTAATATATAAAATACTATTATTCTAATCCTAATATATAATTATCTTAAAAACTAAAGGTTATATCATTGTAATATCATTAAAATTTACTATTTCACAGAGGTAAAAATATTTGTTCTATTAAACCATATTTCATTATAATTAATAATAACCAAAAGATAACACATATTTATTAACTAATCGAATCGAATTATAACAAAAAAAAAAAAGAAGATTCCACTATATAAGGCTGTATTTAAGACTAATATTATTTATCAAGTACCTTTATGTACTATATGAGGCAATTACTTTTGGGTATGGTCTTAATTTGATCTTATTTTTAACGATTTTATTAACCCCCAAGAAAGAGTAATGATTAAAAGGATTGATCACAATATTGATTAGTAGAAAAAATATATATTAACTATATCAACGAAAAATAAGTCATTGTTTTCAAGAACGACGATGTCTACGTTCCGGAATTAATCGTCTGTATAGATGACAAATCACCGTTCACTTTCCAATGTAAACAAAAAGCACAGGATCTGAATGGCTACTAAAATGTTATACAAACGATAATATTATAACAATATTTTAATTT